ATGGCATCACAGCTCACAGCAACCTCCAACTCCTGGGCTCAAGCGAGTCACCTGCCTCCGCCTCCAAAGTAGCTGGAACTACAGGCACCCCCCCATAACGCCCGGCTATTTTTTGGTTGCAGCTGTCATTGTTGTTTTGGCGGGCTTGGGCTGGATTCAAACCCGCCACCTTAGGTGTATGTGGCTGGCGCCTTAGCTACTTGAACCACAGGCGCCGAGCCTATGATTGCTCTTTCTAGCATCTTATCTCTCTTGCCTTTCTAGTTCTTTTTGCCTGAAATGAAGACACAAACCTCTCAGTTGTTTTCTTCTTAGAGCAAGATATCACAAACCTTTCAATGGATTTTTTTCTTCCAAGATAACTGTCAACCCTCTCAAACATTTAATCTATTTCCCCTCCCCTGCCAACTGAATGCTTTCTGTGTATCTCCATTAAAGTTAGATAGAGAACATTGAATTAACAAAATAATTGCTCAGTAGTATAAGCCACTTGTTGGTTGGCATTGTTTGGCATTATGCCTATTTTATAAACAAGAGTCTCATGATCAGGAAGGGTTGTTTGTTTGTTTGTTTGTTTGCTTTTTAAAAAGCCTGGGATCACATAGAAAGAAGTAATACTGGCCACTTATATACATTGAGGGGTCTAATAAAAGAAGAAAATGTGGAGTCCCTTGTTCAAAAACAATGGAAAAAAAGTGCTGCTGATGTGTTAAAATATAAATATATAAAGCCTTTCCCTTTCTTTCGTAATCTTTCCCACGACTTGCTATGGTGTTTTATTAGCTATTTAATATCTTTGTCAATAAAGGAAAATTAAATTTTTTAATTATTGGCATAAATGTTACCATTTATCTTGATTTTGTGCTAGGCCAGTTTAAAATACAAATATAGTAGAACCTTTGTAAGTTGACTCCCAAAGGACTGTAACAAACAGGTCAACATACAGAAGTGGTCACCTAGGGAACTAGGCCTCCTGTACTCATACGCACATGTAGTGCGTGTCCAGTCTATGAAAATTTGGTTAACTTAGGGAGGTGGTTAAGTATGGAGATTCTACTCTATAAGAAGAGTTACATGTGGAATTGTCAAAATTACACAATTTGTATTTTATAGTTCACACATGCATGTACATTCTATTCTTCCTACAATGATGAAAACAATGCACGAAACTCAGCTGTTTTTATTTTACTTTTTGATAAGTGTATGTTCTACCAACATTCTTAATTTTTGCTTACTGATGAATGAGGAAAATCTGGAAAGAAAAAGAAATGCTAACTATCCTATCTTTCCCTTTCCTTCTATGTTCTATTCACTGTAAGTGGTTGGCTAATATAGGGAAGGAAATGAGTTTATTCTGCCTGGAATTCCTTCAGGTTTTTTTTGGATATGTGGATTATGTAAGAAAGAATATGGTAAGGTTCCTGGTTTTCTAGAATGCTTTTGCTTTCTTTCTGCACTTAAAACAAGTTCTGGCTCCAACAGAAAATGAACATTTTCTGTCAGTGCCTCTGTTTGCTCAGTCATAGACATAACATCTTTGCCTTGTACTCATTTCGAGTCTCAGTAAACTTCTATACATTATGAGTCCACTGGAATGCTGTGTTCACTGGGTATTTCTAATGCTCTATGTAAATGAAGTAGCAGGGACTGTAGAGATAAATATTGCACCATCTCATCTGTTCCTTTGCATGCTCCCCTCAGACTTCCCATCAGACTTCACTTATAAAAAACAAGTGAAAGATAAAACTACTAATCATTTCAAGATAGCCACAACAGAGCTTCAAGCCAAGTGTGATGTGACGCTGGGTGTGAAGACTTGGACAACTGCACAGTCTGTGTGCCCATGCAGCCACCTCTGGAGTAGCTAAGCCAGGAGTAAATTCATATCTAACTCCAAAGATAATCTCTTATCATATCATATGGAGCTGCCTCTAGTAACATAGGGCAAGACATTGGCAAAGTGATCAAAGAATGTCAAGATGAGGGATTTTGAAGAGACAGGAACAGGTAACAATGAACTGCCGCCCTTGGGATCTGTGACGGACGGTTGGTCAGGATGACTGCATCCCCTCCAAATATATACATGAATCCTAATCACCACAGTGATGGTATTATGTAGAATATTTAATTGATAGTCTTTTTCTTTTAGTACTTTGAATATATCATCCTACTACTTTGTGGCCTCCAGGGTTTCTGGTGAGAAATCAACTTTTACTGATGATCCCTTGTACCATGATGTAGTGTTCTCTCATGCTAGTTTCAAGATTCTCTCTTTGTCTTTGAGGTACTCAGGTGTGACTCTTTGCGTTTATTATGCTTGGAGTTCCTTCAGGGTTTTTTTTTTTTTTTTTGATATGTGGATTAATGTTTCCCATCACATTTGAAAGTTTTGACCATTATGTCTTCAAAAATTTTTTCTGCCCTTTTCTCTCTCTCCTTTTTTTTTTGTGCAGGTGTTGGTGTGCTATATGGTGTACCAGACATTTCCCTTTATATATCTATTACTATATTTGATGGTGTACCAGATGGTGTAGGGAGGCGCTGCTCATTTTTTGTAATTCTTTTTTGTTTCTGGTCTTCAGACTAGATACTTTCAATTGCTTTTCTTCAGGTTTGTTGATTCTTTCTTCTTCCTGCCTGCTTCTGCTGTTGAGTGCCCCTACTGATTTTTTCGTTTAAGTTATTTCAGTTTTCAACAATAGAATTTTTCTTTGGTTCTTATTTATGACTGTTCTCTTTTTATTCTTATGCTTTATATATTGAGACATAGCTCTCATACTTCCTTATGGTTCTTATTTTTAATTTAATTTTTATTTATTTATTTTTTTGTTGAGACACTATGTTGACCTTGGTACAGTGCCGTGGTGGCACAATTCACAGCAACCTCAAACTCTTGGGCTTAATTAAGCAATTCTCCTGCCTCAGTTTCCTAAGTAGCTGGGACTACAGGCGCCCGACACAACCCCTGGCTGTTTTTTGTTGCATTTGTCATTGATGCTTAGCTGGCTGGGGCCGGGTTCAAACCCGCCAGCCTCAGTGTATGTGGCTGGCGCCATAAGCACTGAGCCCTCATTTTTAACTTAAAAATAGATTTTATAGAGACAGGGTCTCACTATGTTGCCCAGGCTGGTGTCCAACTCCCAGCCTCAAGTGATTACAGGCTGACCTATCCCAGCTCCTTCAGTTCTTTTTTCTTTTGTGACAGAGTCTTAGTTGCCCTATTAGTTGCCCTAGGTAGAGTCCTGCAGCATTGTAGCTCACAGCAACCTTAAACTCCTGGGTTCAAGCAATCTTGCCTCAGTCTCCCAAATAGCTGGGACTATAGGACCCTGTCACAATACCCAGCTATTTTTAGAGATGTGATCTTGCTCTTGACCAAGCTGGTCTCAAACTCCTGAGCTCAAGCAATCTACCTGCTTTGGCCTCCCAGAGTGCTAGGATTACAGGTGTGAGCCACCGCACCCACCTGTCAAATTAAATTTTAAATAGAGTTAAATTTAAATCAGTATTGACTGAAAAATCACATAAGAACATTTCTGTCAATGATGCCAAAATGACTGTTGATAAAGCTGGTCTACATGCCAGCTCATACATTTGGTGTAGTCAGTGAGGTGGACATTCAACAGTTGATCCTTGGGTAAGCTGGCTCTTTGGTGACCTGGATTTCCATTGGTTGGCACTCTTTCCATCCAGGGAAGCAGGAATGCTTCCTAATGGGAAAGAAAATACATATAATCTACATATGGAAGTATTGCCTAAATTTGTTTACAAGTATAGGTTGATGAATCGGTTGTATAGTTACAGAAAATGAATACAAGACAATATTTAAGGTAGGTGGGTGAAGAAAGCATGACCAAGATAAAAGTTGGAATGATCAAGTGAAGCTAGGATTGAGAGTAGCAAATCAAATGTAGCCAACAAGCTCCTGGTCTCATATTTTATTGCTAGAACAAATAGAGACACAAGAATCAGTTTACACTGATCAAAATTAGATTTCACTTTATAGGTACATAACAGACAACCAGAATAACTGTTTGCTTAAATGAGATAAATATCTATTTCTCTCTCGTGTAAAAGAAATCTAGTGGTGGGCAATCTGCCTAGAATGGTAGATCAACATATCATCAGAAGAAGGGGTATTATCTTTTTGTTCCACTATCCTAGCACCTAGGTTTCATTTTTCTTTCATTGTTTCTGAGTTAAGGGATATGAAAAGGGTGGAAAAAAAGAGACACCTCCCCATTGGGTCACGTCTATCCTTCTTCTGAAGTCCCATGCACTTCACATTTCCTTGGGAGACTTGGAACTTAGCTGTACCCAAGTACAAGGGTGGCAATGTGGCCAGCAAAAACTCAGGTTTTGATAATAAAAAGGAAAGAAAGAAAGAATGCTTGTTTAGTTAGCAGCCTGTCCTAACTAAAATACTGTGACACAGTATTTTCCTATTTTGCATTTGAAATTCAGGCATATTGAGGATCAAAAGCTTAGAAACATAAAGTTGGAGATTACAAGAAGTAAACTGCACCTATTCTTACTGTTGCTGGCTTTACCTCCCCCAGGTCCTGCTGAAAAAAATGTCAGACTCAAATCATGGTAACAGCCAGAAGAATGTATGTGAGGAGGACATAGATGATGAAGAAAGTGTGATTTTGACATTGGTTCCAGTTAAAGATGATTCAGATGATTCAAATAACGAACAAATGGAACCAACTGTTTCTTCAACTTCTGATGTCAAACTGAACAATCCCCAGAAACACAATGAAGATGTGAGGACAGAGACTGCTTCAGTGAGCCAGACCTACAACTCTGAGAATTTCAGGAAAATTCATCTACCTCCAACAAATAAGCAATCAAAAGCCATCCGAAAAGCTAGATGTAAGAAACCTGATCTTCCCTTACCAACCGTTTTGCCTTCCATTAATGATGTGGGTCGAGACACTTTGAGGAACTGGTGCCAGCAACTCAACTTGAGTACTGATGGCAAGGTAATTCCTGAAACACCAAAGGAGGCCAGATTACATTCATGTTCAAGGAAACTCAAGGCAGAGACTAAGAGAGCAAGGCCTCAGGAAAGGTCCAAGATGAGTGTGAAAACCGAAGAGCTCGATAGAGTAGAAGTGATAACATCGGCCCAGGAATCTGCATTGGCAACATGGGCAAGGATTGCTGCCAAAGCGGGTCAGCCTAAGACTGTGAATTCATGGTCCATTCCTGTGTCTGCTGAGGCCTTTTTGACAACAGCTTCTGCCCTTAGGTGGTATGTGATTCGTGGAGAGCCTCTCCCCACAGACACAGATGTTGGGTCCGCCTACAGTTTCATGCGGGTCAGGCCTGGGTGCCTGCCACTCCCAGGAGGATGATTTCCCTCTTCCTGTTACCAGCCTGTATTGTCCCATCTCCAGGCCTAGAAGATAATATGTTATGTCCTGACTGTGCTAAGGGAAATAAAAAGACAATGAAAAGATTAATGATAGCAAAGAGGAAGAAGCGATCTACTTCAAACACAAAGTAGGAGACCAGAATATACCACCTCAAACTCTGTGGGAGAAGAGGAGAAGGGTGAATAAGGAAGCTGTTATGGTCTCAGGTATTAGAGAGTAATGGATATACTTTCAGAATGTGTAAGCTGATTTGAGGAAATGGAAGAAGAAATCATTGGAAGGAACCTTTGTGATCTACAAAACAGAATCAAGTAATTAGGACTCCACTGGCTGACTGGGTGCCAGCCCTGTCTAATGAGACACTTTGGGGGGCTTGGAAAGCCACTAAAATAGTCATTGCAGTTGATTAAAAAAAAAAAAAGAAACAAAGTTGAACACTAGCAAAACCATTAAAGTTTTATTTGGGGGAGGAGGAGGCCAATACTGAGTATTCTCTTTAGATAAAAGGTAGAATTCATAAAGAAATATACAGAATTTTTTTAAGACCTTGATCTTAAAAAGACCCTTTCTTTGGTTATCAGTGTTGGCCAGGGATAAGCCAGACCCACCATGCAGACAGTAAATGGAAGGAAAAGTACCAGAGGTGAGCTGGTAGTGGGTCTAGGTGCAAGGTCAGGTTTGGTGAAGCAGACCTTGCTATTACAAAATGATCCTCAGTTATAGAGAAAAGGAAGTTTATATATTGACAGTGATATTAGGGGACTATATCTGTGTTTGGAAATTATTCTGTAGATTTTTTTTTATTTGCTTTAATAGTCACTTCTTGTCCCCTTGAGCACTATTATTAACCTTTCCCTGTACCCTCTGAAGGTTTGCTAAAACTCAGCTGACAAAAGACAAATAAATAAGAAAAGGCATACACATTTATTAATGTGCACAGAAATGAATCACAGAATGACACTCCATCCTACAATAGGCTACAAATAGCTATATACCTTTTTCTTAGGAGAAAGGGAGATAGGGAAGCGTGGATGATTTTAGAGGGGGTAGGAAATTATTCGTAGGAGAATTCAATGGGCTTGAAAACATACAATGGCCTGGGACAAAGTCTGTTGGGCCTGAAGAGGCAGATAATGGTTTTGACAAAAGTCTGTCCCGGTGTGTTGATAGACTCCAGTTTTTCCTCCTGCAATGTTAATTCGGTTAATGAAAAATCAGAGAAGGGACCAGAGGTAATTGTTTTCTTCTTTAGCAGGTCTAGACTTTGGGCAGATTCATCCTGTGCTTTGGGAGAGACAGGAGATTAACAAACAGGAAGAGAAGAAGAAAGGGTCAAAAAGACCTTGAGACTTCTTCAGTTCCCTATGTTGAAGTCCCATATTTGGGGTACCAATTTCTGAGCCCCAATACCAGTTGCTCTCCATTGCTCCCTATCCCCAACACCTAACACCACCAACCTGCTCTCTGTTTCTATGAATTTACCTAGGGAAAACTTGTCTTATCTCCCATAATCCCTCCAAAATATGACCTTACTCTCACCTAACCTTCATTCAGCATCATTCAATGTTACATTAGAATTCAAAAGAAAGTCTTTCACCTCTTGCCAGACTTTCACCCAACCCCCTTCCTCTTAGATGCTTTGTGCATTAAAGACAAGCAAATTGTGTGCAGTGATTTTATCATGAGATTTCTCAACCATTAATTCTAATAGCATGCATTTACCTACTTACACACTTTTCTGGACTTTTGATGTTAGAAAGTGTCCCTTCTAATTGACTCTTGTGGCATTGTCATTTAAGCCCAGAAAGTGGTCTTTAGATACCTGCAACTGCAGCACATCAGCAACACACAGACCTATAAGAGGTGACAACAAACATTGGCATATTCCAAAATTTAAAAACATTCCAAATCTGAAACACTTCTTTTCCCATGAAGCAAGGGAGTTACCAGAGCAATTTATCTTCTCTCAATTTATTGTATTTTTTTTAAAACCTCTGCACACATTATTGTTGTTGTTAGTTTTATAATCCTAAAGTTATTTAGAATTTTATTCCAATCCCATTTTCAACACAGCATGATGGTTATTAATTATTAAGGAACACATTTAATGGATGAAAATATTGAATTATGAAAAATCACATCAATGTTCCTAAAAATAATTTACAAATGGTTCTGATATTCACTGTTACACATAATCTGGGAGAGAACTCAATAACAGATCCTGTTTTCATCCCCCCTTAAGCTTCCAGCCAATCAGGATGGTTTTAGGAATTTGGAGCCCTGAAATCATTGCTTTCAAAGTGTTGGATTATAAAAATATTAATGAACAAAATATGTTCAGAGACATAGATATTTTTTATCCTATATTCGACTGAGAGTATAAAATATGCTACTATCAAAGTCTTAGGTGAACTATCAATAACATGATGGACATATTACAATGAACAAACTGTTTCTTATCTATAGATATCAGACTAGCTACTTGCCTTTATCTGAAATGCCAACACTTTGTATTTCCCAGGTAGTTAGAACATCAGGTAGCATAAATTGCAGCTGGCTTCTGGAAGTTAAAATGTTGACATTCACATACAGTGGAAACCCAACTTGATAGAGGCAATCATTAACAGAAATTTTGCTTCATACTACTTTAGAAGAAAGAAAAAAAATCACAAAACAAAATTATATCAGGTATGAAATAAAATCATATCAAGTAAAATATATTTGGTAACTCTCCTACATATTCCATGATTTTGGGCATTGCACCTGTGTGATGAGAATTCAAGTTCAGAAGGATGCCTTTGAAACGTTGCAAAATCAAAGAGTATAAAAGAGCTATTATAATACTATTATGATACCTGCAGCAAGGTTAATTGGGAGGGGCAATTAACAAGGTCACTGTTAGGATGGGAGACAGTAGTGGGAAGCTTTACTAGCAGAAGTGCTAGCTAATGCGCAATGTTGGATAACACACAGCAGTGTGGAGGAAGAATAAGAGCGAACAAGGGTAGGGACAAGGAGACATATGAGAAGACAACCGCAGGCCTCTGGACTCATTCCCTGACTTCTCATAGGAAACATGCTTAGAGTACATGTAGGAAGAGGGAAGCTTGGGGATTTAGCATTGTTCATCTCTGTTTTCAGTGCCTGGTACAGAGGAGGCATGTCATAAAACTATGCTGAATAAAGAACTTTAACAAGAAAAGAACCTTCTTGTTTATCAATGTTTCTTTTATAGTACAGATACTTTAGGATGAAAGCAGTTGCTTAATATGATATATACCGAATAGCTGTGTGCTGCAAATGCATAATGAAGTGAAATGAAATTTAACAGAAACACCAATAGTTAATCCTACCCTGGAACTAATCACCAGAGCAAAGTGCAAAAAAAAAGACCAAACAAAACAAAACAAAATTTGAGCAAGTGGTAGAATCATCTTAACTCTTAAATAAGCTATTGGGAAATGAGCACTTCTCAGACTTTTAGCCATACTATTTGCATTATTCACATCTCTTTCAAAGGAACATAAAAGAAGTATGATACCTTTTGGGAACAAGATGAACTTCCCATAACCAGCTTTCTGGAAAATAGCTTCGAATTTCTGGCTTACTTACTGGTAACAGGGACTTCATATCTGGGGAAAAAAAAATATCCTATTATGGAAAAACAATATAAATTCTTACAGCTAAATTTTAAAATATTGTCGTTAGTCTATAATTTAAGTATTTTCTGAAAGACCAATGAAAGATTTTGTTTAATGCTTTTAAAACAGAACTATAGAAGCTTGGCACCCGTAGCACAGTGGTTATGAAGCCAGCCACACACACCAAAGTTGGCGGGTTCAAACCCAACCTCGGCCAAAAAAAAAAACTTGAAAAGATAACCATAAGTCAAAAATGTATGTTTGAAAGAATGAGGATATACCTTCACAATAAAAATAGAACAAGTAGTTTCCAAGTGAATGTCAGAGATATCAACTGTCAAATTTAGTACTTAAGGAAATTTGACACCTCATACTTAACAATCTAATTGTAATGAGAGTTATATAAATTCTGAAAACATATTTTATGGTTGAAACAAAAATAAGATTCAACTTTTATATATGAATACTTATCTTTATGATAGATTTAGAAGTCTTTTGCTATATTTAGTTAGTATGGTTACATATTGAATTTTTAATGGTTGTAATATCACCAAACTACAGAATTTTATAAATCGAAGGCATATTGGTTGTAGCTTCTTGCTTGTGGCTCCCACAGGATAATCATTCAAGTTTACAGAATGATTTGGCTTTAAGTTTATATTCGGTCTTGACTCTGTACTGTGTACTCTGCACTATACTATAGCTCTTCTGATCCCCAAAATGAGAGATTTTCTTTTATGGGCATCTATAATTTATTTTTCTATTTTCAGGTATAAATAAAGCATGAAAACTGGCTTTCTTTGCAGGATAAATTTACACAACATTCCCCATATCAAGCAGAATTGTGATAAAAAAACATACTTACGGGAAATTGTCAACAACCTAAATTTATAAGTGCGGAATTGTTCTGCAATGGTGCAACATTCATTGAAAGCTTTGCGGCACATTGGGCCTATGGTAACTCGCATGACTCTCTGTTCACAGGTTTCATCAACAAGCCGGGATCCATCATAACAACATTTCTTTAGTATTTTGTGTTTGTATTTAGCAGCTGAAATGGTAATAATAAGTGCCCTTGATTATCCATAGAGTCATAACATCTCAGGCTTAGAAGGGATCTCAAAGATACCTGGCTTCTACTGCCATATGGCCCTGCTACTCACAGTAGCCATGGCTAGTTGACCTGCCAGGTTCCTCTTGGAACTACCCTAGGAATGGGGAAATGGCCTGTTTCAATTATCAGATGGTCTGTTTCAATTCATAATAAATAGTTAAATAGCACCCTGTGAGTAAAATCAGTTAAATATACAAGAACACTTCACTATACAAATACTTCCTTCTTCAAGCTAAAATCCTATTTTTTCAGAAATTTTTTATATAGCACGGCTGTGGACCTTTGTCAGTGGCATCATCCTTCATTGTAAGTACTTGATGTCTCATTTTTTTCATGTCATACAACTCAGAATAAAGATTAGAATTAAAATAACTCATATATGAATAATGAAATTGTTATATTAATATAAGCATGATTATTAGTGGAACTCAGTTCACTGACTTTCAGTTCAATGTCCTTTCTACAGAAACAAGACCAAATGTCATATTTTATTTAAATAATTATTTAAAAATAATTCCCATTAGATGTATTTTCTAAGGAACAATCCAAAGTGATATAAACTAGGAAATGCATATATATGAAATGGAAGTAATAGACATTTATAGGTCCATTGTACCCCAAAGTGAACCAAAGGGTGAATTTTGTCAAAATAAAATGGAAGAATATAATTTTAATTGCTAGAATAAGTATGTAAAGAGAAAATATTTATTACAAATAAAAGTATATATATATATATATATATAATTTTTCTTCTTTTTGGGGAGGGGGTAGAGATGTTCTCTCTATGTTGCCCAGGCTGCTCTCCAACTCCTGGCCTCAAGCAATCCTCCCACCTCAGCCTACCATACATTTTAGAGGTAGAAATAATAATAAAGACCTGTTTTCTTCAGATTAAGGATATGGCAAATGGCTCGGCGCCTATAGCTCAACCGGCTAAGGCGCCAGCCACGTACACCTAAGGTGGCGGGTTCGAATCCCCAGCCCGGACCCGCCAAACAACAATGAC